ACGTATTATGTACTTTTGTGTAGGCCTTCTTTTGTGTCTAACTACACATTTTAGCTTACTTATTTCATTTCGTGTTTTGTACGTATTATGTACTTTTGTGTAGGCCTTCTTTTGTGCCTAACTACACATTTTAGCTTACTTATTTCATTTCGTGTTTTGTACGTATTACGTACTTTTGTGTAGGCCTTCTTTTGTGTCTAACTACACATTTTTACCTTACTTATTTCATTTCGTGTTTTGTACGTATTATGTTTTTTGTGTAGGCCTTCTTTTGTGTCTAACTACACATTTCTACCTTACTTATTTCATTTCGTGTTTTGTACGTATTATGTACTTTTGTGTAGGCCTTCTTTTGTGTCTAACTACACACTTTTACCTTACTTATTTCATTTCGTGTTTTGTACGTATTATGTACTTTTGAGATTTAGATGGACGTAATTCTATGCATCAAACTATCATCCAGTCTTAACTGCAGAAAGTTGATGTTGTATACTATATGCATATAATATACTTTTTTAAACTTCTTTTGGGACAAAAGATTCTTGGGTTTTGCATGAGACTTTTTATTGGGTATTCCTGATTGAAACATTTGTGGTTGACAAATTTCTACTCATTTTTCTAGCGCATTTCAAAAGTTATCACCAGTCAGTTCCTGTCATTGTGGATATTTCTTCGTTGTCAATGAAAATTCGCCTACAATCATCTATTTTCTAACAACTAATTAAAACACGCCTGTCATGCCTAACCCACGTTCGCCTCAACTTCATTCATTGTGTTGTTTTCCCCCCACTAGTCGGCGCTAACATCAGTAATTAGTGGAGATATGCAGGGCAGATAAGCCGCCTCTCAATCACGTTCTTCAAAATCCAACACCAGTGAAGGCGGAGACCCGCTTACACACGTTTTACGAGCTCGAGGAGCCACGCCTTGCTATAGTATTTGAACAAGGTAAAAAAGTGGTCTAAAACATAATATGTCGTTCGTTTACTCTCTAACCCAAGTACTACTAGAGCTACTGAGAATGTTAGGGTGTGAGTTGATTACAACAAAAATTAATTTACATTCATCTTCAAGAAACGCTGAATTTGCATAGATTTGCATAGATTTAATACGAATTTTGTAGGTTATCATTTCCGCCTTTTTCCTCTATAATTTTATACGTCTGTGATTTTATACATAATTAAAATACCGTTTTCTCTTCATCTCTCTTTGAAACACCTTAATCTTTAAATAAACACAACGATTTCATAAATGGCATCAACCTGTCTTTTCAATATATAAGTAAAAATAAAAACAGATTTTCATCCGACCTAAAAGTAGGATTAATTCAATTCCGATTTAAAACCTTTGTTTTCAGTAAACGATGTGGATTTATTTTATTCAGTGCCCCACCCCCATTGACAAAGCAGTAAATTTTATTCAGTGCCCTCTACCAGTGACAAGTCCCAAGACTTATAACGCTAAGAACCGGGTTTCTGTCCCCGTTGTGAGCACAGCACAGATAGCACACTGTGTAGTTTTATGCTTAACAACAAACAATTATATTCAGTGTTTAGATAAAAGTGAAAATGGTCTCTCTGCCGTCTCACAGTATCAGAATATAAAGCAATTCTTTATAAAGTGCTTAAATTTGTTCGCTTCTTTATTTCTGAATTTTCCTACTTTAGAGAGAGAGAATGTTATAGAGAGTTCACTACCTCCAAGAACCATTGTAGAGATGAAGGAATGCAATCTTTCGTTCTTTTCTTCTTCTTTTGATGTAAAACATTAAATTCTTACAGTTTTCAAGTTCAGTCTTATTTCTGGTATAAAATTATAAGACGCGTTATCTACAACATAAGGAAAGTATGTGAATAATATCTGAATCGTTCTATGGATACCTTCATTAACGACTGATACATTGAATTTCGACCGTGACTCCATCTGTTGAGGGTTGGAGGTAATCAATATATATGTAAATAGAATAATATTCTCGGTCAAGTGAACGAGTATTTAAACTGCGAGTTGGGCTATTTGGACTGACTAGAGCATTTTTTATCGAACGTATAGACTACATCAGTGGTTTTAAAGTTTTATACAGCGCCCCCTTCCTAGTCTCTGTGGTACATGACGTCCCACACCCATACACTCCCGTATGTATATATACCGGTAAAACAAAATCAAATATACATAATCGGGGGCAAACTGAAGAAGAAAGGTCCACCTTTCGAAAACGCTCGGTTTATAAGGTTTTCGTCATTTTGTATCAAGACTTCTTGAATCTTTGTGTTTTTCTGACATCATGGAAAAAAATCAAATATATCACTAAATATTAAAAATTGTAATGTACCATAGGTTCAAAGAGACGTCCATGTAAGTACACAGTGGTAAAAGTTATATATTAGGTGTTCTTACATATTAGTGAGAAGGGTGCCCCATTTCTTGGAGCAGAACAGTTCTTTTTGGGGCTTCATAAATGACTTGCAACACTAGGTTGATGAGGACTTGGTCCGATAATATGCGTGCTAAAAAAAACGTCACCAGCCAGATAGACACGCAGCGCCATCTAAAGGTTTAACATGCTGGTAGTAAGATTTGCTTTACTGATTTAAAAAACACAGGTAAAGAAGTGTGTGGAAGTTCTTTATTTTCTAAGTGAACTTTCTCATGCCTGCTTCACCCAGGATATATTCAGTCTTACCCAGCCATTTTTGAAAACCACTGAACTAAATCACCCAAGAGCGGAAAACAACAACAAAACAGGTAATTTTTTGGAGTCAACTTCTTGACATACCAAGGTCACTTATAGTCAATTAAACCATCCCTCCTACTAAAAGTTTGAGAGCAACAAGGTTTCGAGTGAGGAAAAGCGAAAAGAGAGAATATTATTATCGAATATTTACAAGTTGGTTAATATGTATATATGAACATATACACATGTTAAATAATTACTATACAATGAGATGTAGACACATAAAGCAAAATACGCGAAGCCGTTTAGAATAATCTTAGTATTTTTTGGACTTAGCCTATTCTGATCTGGCAAAATTATACATTAATGTTGAACATGTGTACTCACTCGCGAGTTCCAACAAAAAAATCTTTAATATATATTTCACTTGAGCATATATCATCATATGCGCGACTGAGCAGGGGCGTAAACTCCAGAAATGGGGGGAACAAGGGGGTGGTTGCTATGTTCGTCAAGAACTCTTGTTGAAATGCGAGGGGATAATTATGAGTTTAAAAAAACTGAGGAGGGGCTTGCCCCGTCGTTAATTACACCAATCATGCGAAGATATAGAACTGTAAATACTGTGTTTGTGAGCAGGTTATTGTCGAACTAATAATAACTAAAAATTTTTTTGTGTTCCAATTATCCAAATTACACTTTGCCTTTTTTTTGGGGGGAGGGGGTCTGCTAAGATATATATATATATTAAATTAGTAATATATATAGTATCTACTAATACATACTGCACATTCCATATGTTTGTCTTTACAAACACGATTTACAACTAAAATATTAATATAACATATTCGCCAGAATGGAGGGGTAATACAAAGGCCTCCCCCCGTGTATTTCGAACCCTGGAAATCGAAACCATACAAATTTTACTGTATTCGTAAGACCATAGTCCTGTTTCTGTAGAGTTTTAAAGGGGGGGGGGGGACTAAACTGGAATATTACAGATGTTACCTTTAAGTGACGGTTGAAATTACAATTAAACTTGCTTCGTCGTCATGGCTATAATTAATTTTTGTTTGTTTCTTCTTTAAATAAAATGTTCCAGAAGTTGAAGAACGCCGATTATTAATGATTTTTTTTTAAATCTCGCGATATCTCGAGTGTGTGGCCAGGTGGTTAAGGCGCTCGACTCGCAATCTG